TTATACAAATAAATGCAAATATACAGTAAATATAAGTAAAACTGGACATATTTTAATCATAGCTCATAAACTGGTGACAATGAATTAGCGAAATGGTGCGTCGAGTCATTTCCGCCATTTTTTGTTCACTATACTAAGATATGGAATTGTTTAATGTTTTTCGCATTTTAAACAATAATTAATTACATATTTATACTAGTTTTCTGATTATATTATCGAAATTCTTTAATACACAGAATACATTTCTATATTCAAAAAATCATGTACAATATTATATACAAAATAAGTAGTATATATTTATTATAATAATTAATTTGTGACATATTACGCGAACAAAAAGCAAATCATCGAAAAAAAAAGAAAAAGGTAGCTAAAGTAGAGAAAGAAAATAAAGATTGTTCGCATAGTTATTTGAAAAATAACCCAGTCCTGATGTATAATTTATTTAGTTATCTTTTTGTAGAAGTTTATTTTTCACGCTTTTATAGCAGAATTGATAAGCATTAATTTTCTATCCGATTTTTACTTTAATATTGTTAACATATTGCGGATCTCTTTATAGAGTGTTCTATTTTTCAAGTGTTACTATTTTTGAATAATCGATTTTTATTTATTTGGATTAATTTTTCTTGTACAAAGATGTTGAGGCATTTATTTATTATCCGGATGATAGATGGTTGAACATAAAGAGCTTTCCAATATCTAGCCCAGATAACAGAAAATGTCTAAAATCAGATCATAAGATGTTTTTTGCGTCTAAAAGACAACTTAAAGACATCTTATGTCACAATTGTAGACTTTGTGTTGTTTGGGAAGTGAGGCAGATATATTTTAAGTAAACCTTTCATAATATATTAATATATATATTACAATATGTAAGATTTGTATGATAAACTTGAAGTTGCTGAGAAAAGCCCTTGTGGAGCATTTTTACCATTTGTATCTCATGCCTAAGCACGCGAAATATCATGTGATTAGTGAACTTTAATCACTATTAATTAAAACATTTTTTATTATAGTCTCCATATTTCCGTATTAATCAGAATTTTCGTCTTAAAATATTCCAAAGAATCCGCTCTTAAAAGGAAATCCGGTAGTTTTGAAACATCTATACAGCATGTAAAAAGATGTTAAATTTTTTGAAAATAAGGATAATTGACAATGTGGTATTTAATATTTTTTAGTGACAAATACATATTAGATTTTTCTAAAATTACTTAGTGTATAGAATTCTATTGATACATAATGTAAAATATTAGATAAAAATATATATTTCTATCTTTGATATATCTTATTGAATTTAATATTTATTATATACGTAAAATATGTTAAAAGTCATTCAGAATATCACCTAAATACGAGAAACGCCATTTGATGGTTAAAGTTAGATGTTGAACTAATGCATACACGAATTTTTTTCAAATAAATTTATCCCAGAAAAAGTTCTTTACAGGTATTTATGATTATATTTGGAGAGGATTATTAATATTTCAATTGCGTGTTGAAAGTCCAAGTAACAGCGCACAGTCATATTCCTGAGATAAATTCATTTAAAAAGAATATGTATATGTATTAGTTCAATATCTAATTTTGACCGTCAATGGTGCTTCTCGTACTTAGGTGATGTACTCACATAAACGGTCTTATTTCTGATCTTATTATTGTCAATATGAAATTTTAATAACTTGGTTTTACATACATTTACAAACAAAATTATATAATATACTTAATAGCGAATATTTTAAATTAATATATTTACATACATTCGTATATTCTTAAATAAATAGTACATAATCAAGTCTCTCAAACTTTTATTTCATACATGTGAGTTTATTAAAGATTTTTTCAATTTTATTCATTATGTGTGTGGTAATTAGTAGCGTTCAAAATTTAGCGATTTTTAATATTTCGAATTATCTCATTATGCATAATTAATCAATTTTGTAATTTTTTGTCAGAAACAAAAAAAATAAAATTATATGTTACGGTTATTGCTATTCTTATATATACTAATTTAACATAGTAGTTAATATAACATTGTTCAGTATTAATATTCGTTTAAATAAATGTAATATCTCATCCATACTTTTAAAATAATTATGTACACTGAGGGATTTATCAGTATTAAAATATAAAATTATCAACTATTATTTATCTTATTTAATATTATTTTTATAAATTATTCTACAAAAATGTAAGATTTATTGTAAACTTATTATAAAATTACTGTAATAAAACTTTAAATCTTGAGTGAAAAAATAAAAACCTAAAATATTTTGATATATGATAATTTTAAAGTATTATATTTTAATATCGATAAATTCCTACTTATTCATAACAAATGTACTTCCTTTTTAAGTGTAGTAGTCATGTTTAAAATGAAAATTTTAACCGACTATGAAATCTAAAACCACAAATGTATAGTTTTAAAATATATTTTAATGGTGCATGTGGACATATAGTAGGAAATTTTTATATATATATATATATATATATATACACACACACACACACACACACACATACACTATATATGTACATATTATGTATATATCCAGCTGGAATTTTCCTACTGTATGTCCACATGCATCATTAAAAAATATATATATGTATATATATATGTGTGTATATTGGTGTGTGTGTGTGTGTGTATAGATATATAACCTATTATAAAACAGGATGAAACAATACGAGTGAAGATGAAAACTAGCATATCTCTAAATATAGAGAAACATCTATTAATGCAAAATAAGATTTTTAATAATAAACCATACAAAATTAATATTTATATATGCCGTCATGAGAGTATTAATATACAGAAATATTTTCATAGTTTGACTCCGGAGTAATTCAGCTTTATAAATATTTAAGATACAATTAAAATGTTAACGGATGGGCTGTGGCTGAAGTATTAATTGAAAGCTATTTTTATAGCTTTTTGACTTTAAAAATTATAAAAAATAAATATATTTTGCTATATTTTAGCATTGCCATTGGTATAGAAAGCTAATATGTACAATAACCTACAGTAGATGACATTGTACGCCTTCGATAACATTAGTCATTAAATTAAGGCTGTTTCAATTAAAAATCTTGTTAAATTATGTTCATTTATACATATTTCATGGAAAATGTATTATTTAATTGCATTATTATTTAAACGGTGTCAAGTTTATGTACTGAAATATACATTGTTCTATTCTGAAGAAAAAAATAGCATTTTTAATTGTGTAATATTCAAATTAAAAATTTTATGAAAATATTTTGAACAGATTATAAACAATTGTAACACCTATTTCATATAACAAATTACAAATGTCACAAAGAATTTTATGCAAGAAACGTTATTCATTTTATGTTATTATACATATTAATCTTAGAAAGTTAATTTGCAAAAGTTCACCTGTCAATAAATTATTATATTCTTTACAGTAGATATACAAATAACTTTATCTGATAGTTTACATTTAAATCTAAGATAATTTACACATATGCTATATATATGTATAAATCTTTTGTGAAAAGATATTTTTCATATATCAATTATATGTTATCTTACATTCAAGGATAATATATACTAAGATATATTCTATTTCACTTATAATTTAATGTATTTCATTATAATATTGCTACAAGAGTTTGCTATGCTCTCCATAGCTCTAGTAAAACAATTGTATCAAAATGTTACGTTTAATATGCTCTGATAAGAAGCGAGTAGGTAATACTCGTGTAGATAATATTCGAGCAGACTATCTAAGTAGCAATATAAATGTGATGTAAATAAAAAAATGTTCAATATTAAGTATTGCAAGTGGTACAAGAAATTATATCTCATTGTCTTTATATATGGACATCTGTGCAATAAAGTATCTGTAATCGAATTATACATACGACAATCTAATTTAAATAATTTACATATACAGGGTGTTCCAGAAATAGGTAGCCAAACTTTAGTATCGTATTCTTCTGTCCTTAAAGATGAAAAAAGGTATAAACCTAAGTTCGGATATTTTTTCTCTTTTTGAGATATAAACATTTTATTTGTGCAAGAGAATATTTTAAAGATTTAAAACTTGAATATCTGCTCACTCTCGATATTGGAATAAATTATCTTGGTAACATTATTTTAACTATGCAATGTTTAGATAGAAACTGATTTACTACGATAAGCTGTCTTCGATGACAGTATCACTTGCTGTACCATAATATTTACTTTGTGTAATATCTGTTCAACTTTCGAGATGAACAAAAAGTATTTATATCTCGTAATCAAAAAGGAAGAGTTTCCGGACTATATTTATAACCTTTTTGTATCCTTAGAAACGGTAGAAAACGATACTAAAGTTTGGCCACCTATTTTTTAAGAACCCTATATAATAAAAATTATCAATTTATAAACTATGTGTATTAGGCTGATTAAATTTGAATATAATAAAACAAATTTTTTTTCTCTGATGTAACAAATTGTAAAAGAAATCAATTCTGTACGTTTTTTTCCTATTTGGAACTTTAGAATGCATGAAGTGCCACAACACAAACACATAATTATTGTGTGAACATAATCTTTTGTTTACTTTATAAATAAACTCTTACTCTTTTCTTTGTAATTTTAGCATTATTTTAGATAATTTTTTCCTGCTATAAAGTTTATTTTGTACTTGTTTTATAAATAATATCTGTTAAACTTTATTTAATAATATACACGTACATAGAATAAGAAATAAATTTTTTAAATCTATACTTATGACAATAAAATATAAACTATAATTTTTTTATTATAAAAAAATATACTTTATATGCTTCATTTATAATTAACATATTTTTTAATTATTTAAGATGGAAGCATATCAAAATTTTGACATATACCTATACACGCGTGCAAGCACAATGTGCTATTTAGAATATATTAAATATAAATTGTTTTCTTACATCTTTATTAAAATATTAACTGTATCAATATAAAAAAATAAAACTAATGATAAGATCTATGATACAGAAGCGTGTGTGTGTGAATGTGTGTGTATAATATTAAGTAATTAAAGGAACAATATGATGTAGAATAACTATAACTAGAGATACAATGGTAATAATAATATTCTTAAAATATTTGGTTCTGTTATTTAAATTTCATCTTCGTTTAAAAGCATGTTTGGAATGCCATCGTTGATAGGAAATTTTCTGCCGGATTCGGGACACAATAAATCTCCGTTTATAACTTCGACTTCCAACAAAATATGATGAGTCTTTTTTAGAAAATCTTCATTTGTCTCGAAGTCCTCTATTAGAATCTGAGGTAATTCACCGACATGTCCTATCTGTAATAAAATACTCGTTAATATACTATAAAATATTTTTTACAGTATTTCAGTAGATTATGTTGTAAAATAATAATATTGTATATTAAGGATGGTGTTTATAATATAATTTGAGGAATAAATGCAGGATACATTAAAAGTTCGTACAAACATTCGTTCTATTTGAACTTATTTCCGAATTAAGCCTGTGGTATACAATTGCTTGCATACGACTGTGCTGGCAATCTTGTTGATTGTTATGCTGGAAATTATGTAGCCTGCTGACTACGCTACTGACTGAATTTACTGAATTTTTGTGACAGGTCAAGTACTATTTTTCTTGTATGATTTTGTGCTGATTCATTGTGAAAGCCAATAATTAAAAACAATGCAATTATATTTTTACAATAATGTGCCACAGTAGCAATAATCTACTTCGTATTTATTTATTCGCGGATACTTCTGTCAAGAATCTTTTGTCAAACAAATTACTGCTGTTCGACTAGCCCTGCCAGCACCGCTGCCAACACGATAACAAATTCAGCTAGCAATCCTGTAGGAAAAAAAGCCATCGTATGTTGCAGGCTTTATTCAGAAACAAAATTAAATAGAATAAATGTTTATAAGTTATTGCAAGAACGATATATTTTAATCAATTATAGAATATTATATTATTTTCATATCTTCTTTTGATTTTTCACGTATGTTTTAATATACTTTATTATATTTGACTCTTATGTGCCCTTTATTCTCTCGTTATTGTTCATAAATGTTTATATGAACTTTTTATGTTACTTTTGTATCCTAAATTAATTTCTGAAGTTATGTCTACATGTTATGAAACACTGCGTGCACAAATACATGTACACAGAGTTGGGAAAGTTACTTTGTAAAAGTAATTAGTTATATATAGTTATATATAGTCATATATAGTTTCTTTCTCTCAAAAAATAATTACAAGTTATTGACTTTGAAAAATAACTCGTTACAGTTACTAAAAAAATAACTTTGTTACTTTTCTGTTTTCACAATAGAACAGTACAGGTAACATCAGGGAAGGCGCTAATTGCGCATATCTTGCGCACATCGCTAATTGATAAATTTAATATAAAACATTCTCATTGGTAAAAAGCAGTGAAAAATTCTAGGCCAATACGAGTAGTGCAATCGGGAATGTAGGTTAATTTAGGACCTTTCTTAACATCGACATCATTAGGATCATCAAGAAAAAACTGATTTACGTTTACATGTTATAATTTTATTTTAAAAAAATAAAAAAATAATAAACAATTCTATGGCAAAGAATGGGAAAAGTAATTATTGGGTGTACAAATAAGTTTCCATCATTTTCTGATTAAATAAATCGCAATTGTTTTTATAGAAAAATAAGACTATTTTATTCAAAATATTTGCCATTAAAAGCTATAACCTTCCCCTACTTTTCAGGTAATAAGTAAGTGATAGAAGAAGTCCGGTTGTTTTGAAGTAATCCAGTCATCAAATCAATTCACGTGGGACCCAATTTCCTTGCTCTTAAACCATTCCCATTTGAGTACGAGCTTGGCATAGCAGGCAGCGCACGAGACTGCTGTGCCAGAGATCCCGGGCAGAACCAAAAAATGTTTTCGAACGCTCGTAGCTCCTCTTGGAAGGCAATGGCAAACCAAGAGTATCTCTTGCCAAGAGCACTTCCCTAATAAATTGTCGTTCGGAATCGATGTTAAACTGTAGGTCCCATATGACTGTGTACAATTAGCGTACGCATCACAGGCATATGAAAAAAAGTCCACACTCGGCCACGAGTAATAGGACTGTGGAAGAGAAAACCATTCCTATTGAATATAGACGTTGGGAAATACATTGTTGGGTAACATTTAATGCCATTGCTAAATCTGTTTCTGTTTGGCATGGATCTTTATCCAGTAATGCTTCCAATTCTGTATCTTCAAATTTTTTCGATGCACCTTCACATTCTTGTCTTTCACATCAAAATCGTTACTTTTAAATTTTCTGAACCACTCACTACAAGTACTTTCAGCTAGAGCATGTTCAGCATAAGCTTCTACAAGCAAATGGTGGTTTTCAGCAGCAGTTTTCTTTAAAATAAAATAATGCAGCAAAACTTGCCGCAAATGTTATTTTGTTAGCACAAAATTTGACATTTTCAATGCAATGAGAAAATTTGTTGTTTACACTGAACTCTAATGTTATATACTAAATCTTAAAGCTTACTTAGGTATCTAACACTTAGATATGTTACCATCTTAAATTACATGCATGCAGTACTGGTGACGGCATCTATTAGAAAACGATGGGAATTTATTTGTACACCCAATATATAGCAAAGATGTTTCTCTTGAAATTATACAATACATATATATGAAATTACATTGGCAATTTTAATTAAAACAGATTATCTTGATAAAAGGGGGAGGGGGGTAAGTTGGTATATCTTGTATTGCAATGTATATAAATGTTTTCATTATCTTATTTTTTATTTATAACTAATATATTTTGTATTATGATACAAGTGTATACAAGACAAGTAAGATTTCATAGAATCTTACTTGTTATTGTATCTTGAATCCTACTGACAAAATTTCATATAGAATGTTTAAAAATATTTTGTTATATGTTTATATTTATGTTTTATTATTTGTAGGAACATGTTGGGGACAAGTTGAAGCATGTGATATGAATAAATCTTTTAATATCCAAAGTAACTATTAAATTAATTGCTAGTTATTGAAAAAAATGTAACTAACTTAAGTTACAGTTACTGAAAAAGACTTTAACTGTAACTTTGTTACAAGCAACGAGTTATTTCCCTGATCATGTATATATGTTTATATGAGAAGGTGACCTTACGCTTTCGGCAGCTTTCCATAGCACTGTCCAATCCAATTTTGGAATTATCCTAGCGATATATTCTGGATTAAAATCTACTTCGGATACTCTGATGTCTCGAGCCTGCAAAATTTTACAAATATTTTTAATAAATATATGATAATGAAATAAGGAATCTTCAGAACAAAATTGTATATTTTTTGGTTTTTCAGACAAGCATAATCTTGAAAGTAATAATATAAGTAAATTTTAAGAAAAACTGTAAAAAATATAGTATTGAATCTCAACAACACTCTTAAAGAATGGCTAAAACTTTAAACGAAAAACTTAAAACTTTAAACTAAAAACAAAAATATTATTAATTATGTTCAAGTATTTGTCTATTATCACCTAAAGTACATTGCTGTATACACACACACACACACACACATACATACAAACACTTGATATAGTAAAAAAAAAAGTAGTTTTAGAATATTTTAAATCTTTTTTCTTGATTTTTATCAACTCAAAAGATATAATATTTTAAAAATAAACATTTTTATTATTACCAAATTAGATTCAAGTTTATTAAGTAAAATTGAAACGTTCAGTTAAGTTTTGATGTTTTTATATTTTTGCACAGTATTGTCTAATTGGTTATTATTTTATTCGAGTTTTCTGTATGCAATAAGCAATTTAACAATGAGAGTTAAATAACGTTAATAAAATATAACGTTATTTTGACCACATCAAAATATTGTTTAGTATATTAAATAATTTTCACAATGTATGATTGAATATTTCATTATTCAAAGTTTTTACATTCTAGACATGAATTGTGATTTGTGTATTTTAATGAACAGGAGAAAATAGCTTACGACTATTTTCAGAGGATAGCCGACTGTCACCCCTTTCATAGCTCTAGATGTTAACATATTGTGCGTAAGAAGCTTCATATTTTCTGCAATAAAAAACTGACACAGTGGGAATTATTTGCTCCAATATAACACAGAGAAACAAAACGTGCACAGCCACTACCATAATACACCATAATAGATAGCCATAGACACAGTATAAACAGAGGGAAACTCTTTAACTATATAAGTATGGGCCGCCAGTAAACGCAAACTTCACACTGGTTGTCATTGTCAAACCGTAGCGACACCATTAACCAAGAACATCGACAAGATACTATGGCCGGTATTCATATAGCGTTTTCGGCCCGGCCAAGTTTGCATCAACCTGGGTTGGATTAATGGTGTTTTGTGGTCTCCTATTGGTAGAGCGGGTGACGTCAACCAATAGGAAAGATTAATCCAAACCAGGTTGGTGCAAACCCGATCGGGCCGAAAACGCTAATAGTCGGTTCTTATTTTAAGTCCGGATCTACAATAAAGGTTTTAAGCCTTAAGCCATAAAAAATGGGCGAATCATAGTCGCTTATTCTTCTCGGATTCGTCTGTAAGTCCGGATCTACAATGGGTGTTTTAAGTCTTAAGCCGTAAGAAATTGACCAATTACAGTCGAATCCGAGAAGAATAAACAACTGTGATTCGCCCATTTCTTATGGCTTAAGGCTTAAAACCCTATTGTAGATCCGGACTATAAGACCGTCTTAAGTCGCTAATGCGGCCTTCTGATTGGTTCATCTTAAAACTGTACTTAAGACGGTCTTAAATATAAGATCCGACTATGAATACCGGGCTATTAAAGACGGTCGGCGCTTATGGAAATTCGTGTGTCTGTTAAAATTTAAGTGATTGAGGGCCGATTGTTCCACCTTTTGGTAAATTTTACCTGTGAAGTATTGCTGGATTTACATTGTATCTGATTTTCGTCGTACGACGCTCTTCAACCAATCAGAAAATAGAATTCCGATGATACGAAGCAAAATCCATCGGAATCCTGTTTTCTGATTGGTTGCAGAGCGTCGTACGACGCAAATCGGATGCAGTGTGAATCCAGCATAAGGATAAATCTACACAAACTTGCATATCTGCATATACATACGCATAAACAAAATTATCCAATTGCATTTCTCTTTTAAAGTCGCATTTAAAATGTGATTGGATTATTTTCCTTATGCATACATTTATGCGGCTATGCAAGTTGTGTGAATATACCCTAATGACTGCAGCACACACTGTTGCACCAATCAGAGCTCTGTGTCAAAGCGCTGTTTCCTGTATGAGGATCCGGGGATAATGCTTAATGCATAAGGGAATCAACCAATTGAAATTCTTCTTTTCCATGGAATGAGAGGAAAGGAAAGCTTCTGATTAGTTGATTCGCTTATGCATTATGCGTTATGCAAGAGTCTGCTGCGGCTATAGCGGGGAACACAGACTCTTGCATAACGCATAACACGTAATGCATAAGAATATGTACCAATCGAAGTTCTCCGTTTCTTTCCCTTCCATGTAATAGAGAACTCTGGTTGGTTCAATTTCTTATGCCTCATGTGTTATGCGTTATGCAAGAGTCTGTGCTCCCCGTTTAACTGTTGAGTCTGCTGAACGCAAATAATGGTTGTTAAAGTTTGAAGTTGACAAAGCGGCTAGCCTATTTGCCGAGCAAATGAGCATAATTGATTGTTATTTATAGATTCAACCAATCATATTCAATCACTCGGTAAGCATGCCTAGCCGCTTTGCCGTCTTGAACTCGTCCAATTTGTGTCTCTTGCTGGAAAGCTCCCAGAATTAACAGAGTTATCAGAATTATCTGTTTTCTAGAATTGACCAATCAATTCTACTAAATAGCAAATTCGATTGGTCAGTTAAACGCCGATTAAATAATTGTCGTTGGTGAAATCGGCCGTAGACCAAAAAAAGGAAGAAGAAGAAGATATGTGAGTGATGCATTTATGAACGCGGAGAACACCACGCCATGTTTGCCTGAGGTATGTAACTGGATGTTTCACTAAAAACATGGCTGAATTATTGTTTCGTCGTTCAGTAAAATTTTGTGTACAGTGAAAGAACGATCTGACGTCGAACACATGTGAGTTTGAAGTCATTATGACTTCGATTCATCTTGTCGTGCATCCTTTGCCAGGAACTGATGACCAACTCAATGATAGGTGAGAAATTTCATCTGCTATCGGTTTCTCACACATTACTGCATTCCAATTTGTATATCATACTCGAGAAAAAATACCATTTTTTTCTTATCTCAAAGTGGTCCATTACTGTTGCAACATGTCACGACATGTCATGATATGTTACAAATGCGTTATTCCCATTTCTCTTCTTATTTTGCGTGTATCAGCGTAACGAATGTACGTCTCCGTTGACATTATCCTCGCCATATTTTAATGGCAATCTATAAAAATGTAGTATCTGGTAATTGATTCTGTTTTTACGTGTACGCTTCAAGTCTTGTAATTGCGGACAATGTAAGATATATTTGTTAAGCGATATAATCCTGAATCTCTCTAATTGGTGTACAATCATATGCAACTAAATGAATAAATAATGCATTGTTGAAACTTGTTATCAAACTTAATATATTTAAGTATGTTACCACTATAATGAAAAAATTATCTTGCAATAGCAATGAAAAAAAACATTTTTATTTTATATTCTTTAATTTCAGAAAGATAATTGTCTATTTTATATATTTTATGCATGTATATAGTAATATTGTATTTTATGCTTTTATATTGTTTTAGATTGAGGGAAATAGCAGATAAAATAAATAGATATGGATTCGTAACACCATTAGCTTTTAATTCTTTAAAAGCATCAATAAAGCGTATTGTAGTTGGACCAAGCCATATTGCTTTTCTCACGGATGACAATAGAATAGCTAGAGTTGCATTTACAGTGCTACCAGATAGATTGGATTTGAGTAAAAATGAACCTAATAGAAAGTGAGTGAAAATGGAGCAAATGTATATGTGACTCTACACGGTCAATAATACTAATTAGTAATATTGAATCAGTAATAGGATGAGTTTCCTAATTCATCGATTGATCGATTGTATTGTGCGCAAATACAATTTTGTGCTATAAAAGCTACATTTAGTATAATCAATAAGCGATTAATCAATCAATCAATCAATTAAAAAAACTCGTCCATACTGACAGTATGCATCAATATTTTTAATATTTTTGTAACTTTACACGATCAGGATTAATAATATATTTCACTTTTATATACATTATATTTTTCACTGTGACATTATGATGTGGCTCTTAATAAAGCGATATTGATGTTCGAGAATCAAAATCTAGATCATTGTCAATATTCTACATCAATCCATCAATATTAACCATACACAATCAGTAATATTGATAGTATTTGTTAATACCAACAGTATTATTGACCATGTTAGGGTCACCTTATAAGAGGACAGTTTATGCAATAATCAGAAAATGTCTGTTTTATTATAGTACAAGTAAAAATCATATTGGAAACTCTAATTCTGCACCAAATGGAAATGGAAATAGCAGTAGTGGTAATAGAACAGGGATGTCACGTTCACGTGCACGGATTATGCGTAACAGTTCCGCGATACGTGGAGGTAACAACAGTGGAGGGAGTGGAAGTGGTGGTCGTATAGGACCACCTGGAGTTATTATGGGTGGAGGAAGTGGTAGCAATTCTCGTCCTATCGCCTCTGTACCAGCACCATTTGTACCGGAAGATCTAATATCTCAGGCACAAGTTGTATTGCAAGGAAAAAGTCGCAATCTTATTATCAGAGAATTACAGGTTTAATATCAACGTTGTAAATAAAAAGAATGTAAAATAACAAAGAATTACGTAACTTAATAAAATAATTCTATTAATATTGCAGCGTACAAATCTAGATGTAAATTTAGCAGTAAACAATCTTTTGTCACGAGAAGACGAAGAGGGTGATGATGCAGAAGATGCAGCAGATAGTTATGTTCCAGAAGATCTTATTTCTTTATTAGATGGTGGCTTTAGTAATGAGCATTCAGTTATAATTGATGCTGATTCTATGTTTTCTGAAGATGTATTTGGCTACACTGGAATAAGGCAGTAATTAATTTTTCACATATGTTACAATTGTTGAAGTGTTAACTTAGTAAATGTATACATTTACTGTAATTAACACTTTGTGACATATATACATGTAATGATTATACTCAAAAAAAGAGAAAGAGAGACAGATAGACAAGCAGATATATTTTAAAAAGATAGTTTTAAACTTTGTTGGCTTGTAGTGCTTGCTAAGTTGTATAAAAAATACTTAGTCAATGTTGGTTCGCAAATCAAATTATTTCTTTAATAAATATTTTTTATTTTAGTAACATACGTTGTTTACTCGTATTTATATATCACATGATGTGGAAATAAATATTGACAATATTAACTTATTCTAATATTGTAATATTTCAATAAGAAAATATTAATTATTTGGGTCTGAACATGGAGTCGAACAAACATAGAATAGTAATTGAGAGCATCATTCTCTAAGTTTTTTTTATAAAGGTATTTTAAAAGTTTATCCAGTTTTGATAAATTACTTAGTAAACTTATAAACGAAATTAGAGAGAGAGAGAGAGAGAGAG